GACTTCAAAGACTTAAGGCTTGGACGTGCCGCCTTGACATGCCTTATACCTTTGAGAGCATGGGCGGAGACAAGGGGTGGCCAACCTAGGCCATGGCCCACCCCAAATTTAAAAAATGGCTCAATTTTTAGTGTAAAAAATTCTGTTTAATTTTTTTTCCAAAAATATTCTTTGTACCGGCCCAGTCCGGCCCAGTGCCCTGACTCCGCCCCTGTAATTGAGAGGAAAATATGTTTGGGGGATTCATTCGTTTGGTGTTGTTCGAAAATGAGGGTAGTAAGACTTTTATTATACCAGAAGGTAGGAATAGACTGAGTTTATGTCTCTTTATCGCTACTTTATCAAATTTAATTGATATTTTGAAAGAGACGAAGAAGATCATATTAGATACTCCCTCCGTTCTCATTTTATCTTCCGTTTCCCATTGGCACACAATTTAAGAAAAGTAGTATTGTGTGGTGGAGAGTTGTGCAGAGGAAAGAGAAATGTGTAAGAAATGTTGTGAACCACAAATTCTTTACCAAAAAGAAAAAGTGTAAGTTTAATTGGAACGGATGAAAAAGGAAAGTTGGAAGATATAATAGGAACGGAGGGAGTAATTTTTTTGACAAACAATGGGGTTGTTTGTTCTGACTGAGCATTTGAGGACTCTGTGATTGTGAGGTCTACATCATCCCCGATATTTCAGGAGGATTTACTTTTAGATTGTTACCTTTTTCCTTCTACTGATTATATTTCTCCTTCTGAGACATAATACACGGATATTGCCTCTTTCAGGGAAGACGGGCTTAAGAATTTGGACATAGTAACAAGGGAGGATGAAAATCAAGTGGGTGAAGTCTAGCAACTTTAACCTATATATTCAGGTCTCCTTCTCGCAATTTGGTCAACATAATGCAATCAAGGGCATTTCTTATTCTGATAAGGCTTCAGAAGATGACTCATCGATCGATGATTCTGATCAAGAGTTGCTTCCATGCTTAAGTGATCTCAACTATAAGACAACTCAAATTAAGTTTAGATGAAGTGCTCTACTTCAAGCGAAAAACAGGGGGTATTGACATAGATTTTTTGTAGCCAATTATGACAATTTTAGGCTCTATTGAGGATTGAGTTGTTTGGATTCTCTTCACACTTGTTGAGATGGGAGAAGATGGACCCTTTGTTTGGATTTTCATCACTTTGCACGGGAGGCATTTTGTTCATTTACTTCTTTCATTAGCGCTTTTCATTCATTAGCTTTACTATTTCTCTCACATTTTTACTTCATTAGCTTGTACTCTGAATAAATTTAATAAAGTTAAGTGGTTTTCAGCAAAAAACAAAACATTGCTCGTACGTATTACTTGCCTCAACTACAATACTTTTCTACGTCATTTGAAAGTATAAGTTTCATTTTCCTTTTTAGAAATTATCACACATAAAAAGTTACAACACACTTTTTTTGTAAACGTTATAATAGACATTAAGAAACGGTAAAATCCCTAAATTAAAAAATCTAAAAATCAAAAGGATATAGCTATATCTAGCGGCTTAGCCGTCGCGTGGGGTTTTGTTTCCCTAGCGGCTTTGCCGTCGCGTAGGGGTTTCCTTCCGCCAATTGTTCGTGCGACTCTTCTTCTCTAGGCTTCTAGAGTGCTTTTTAAGTTTAGATTGTTGGTTCTGGTTTTGGGATTTAGGTGACTTCAGATTATCCATTGGATCTCGAAGCAGCAACAAGATTTCATCTTTTTCTCTGATCTCTTTTCTCGGCTTGTGCAACTCAATCATAAAGGAGGCGTGAGTGCGGCTGCAGCTTTTGGAAACGAATCCAAGGTTCAAGAAACGATAATAATGTTTTCTATGGATGATCTAGAGCAGCGTTGTCTCATTCATGCAATTGAGGAGGAGGTCGAAGAGTTAGTTTCTGGTGAATCAACATGGGTAGAGGGCTGTGGTGGTAGTGGTGGTGGAGCGGGCGATGAGAAGACAGGGAGGGGTGAAGGGCTGAACAAGGGAGAAGAAAGATCGGCGGTCCGCCTCTCTCCTTAACCGCCGCCTTGGAGCGATCGAGGTGCTTCGTTTTGGATGATTTATCAGTTATTTAATTCTTCATGGTTTTATTTCCGTGTTATGTTTTACGTTGCTCTGTTTTTTATTGATGTCTTTAATTTTAGGTCTACAATAATGATTGACAATTCTGTTAAATATTATGTCGTTAGAAGGATCTATTTGGCTAGTGATTGCTGTGTCACACCCGCTTGGTGGTTAACGATTCATATTGCTCTTACAGGGATGATCGTCTCTGAGTCTAGGCGTAAGGTTGATAGTGCTAGTTGGTTAGAGATAGTTGTTGTCAGGGTTGGTATTTTTGAGTTTCTTGTAACGATCTGATTCCTAATGATAATATAAACGGCGGTTATTTTGATGATAAAAAATCTAAAAATCACAATTTTCTAATTTTAGAAACATTACAACCATTACTTTAAACTGCAAGACAGTTGCTCCCTCTGTCTCTGAATAAACTTCCAAAATTCTTTTTCCCGTTCGTCCAATTAAATTTCCACTATCCCTTTTTGATAAAGTATTTGAACAAATTATATTGTGGGATCGACGCACCATGCGCATGATGCGCTAATCCCACTAATCCTTTATTTCCCTGCATGTAAGCATGGCATTTCCTTTTCTTATTGTTTTTTTTTACTTTCTCTTTCTACAATTCTTTTCGTCTTCTTCTTCTTCTTCTTCATCAAATACTAAAAATGTAATTACAATTTAACTTTTCTTTATCTTCAATTTAAATTACAACACAATCTATTTTTTTCTTTATCAATACATAACAAAAAATATCGATCTAAGTAAAGTTAGTATATTACATTTCACATTCATACACTGTTTTTATTTTTGTAATATTTTTTGTATACATTTTTTGTAATATTTTTTTTTGTAAAACACTTTTTTTGTAATATATATATATATATATATATATTAATCTAAATAAAATATGTATATTACATTTCACATTCATACATTATTTTTATTTTTGTATTTTTTTGTATTAAACACTTTTTTGTAATATTTTTTCCATATTCATACACTTTTCATCTAATATATTTCTTATATATGTTATACATCATTAGTGTTTTTACGACATGGAATTTTTTTATTTTGATTTACATTTGATAAAATATGAGATTACATCTTCATATGTGTGGTCTACATGATTTTCACATGTGTGATTTATGTTTATATTTTGGAGTTACATTTACTATTATATCAAGTTAAATCTTCTTGTACACGAGTTACATTTATTTATGCATGAGTTACATCTTTCTATGCGCGAGTTACTTTAATTTGGATTTGTCTCAACCAGCTTCATTTTGCACACACCTAAGTTAGAATTTTCATCAACACGAGTTATATGTTCCATAACACGATTTACATCACATAATATATTCATGCTATTGAAACAAAAAAACATTTCTTTTTGAAAAAAAATGATTTTTTAGCAAAACAAATATATGTTTTTGGAAAAAATAAAAATTTTTGAAACATTTTTTTGGCCTTAATATTAAAAACAAAACATATTCATTATTTATGTAAATTAATTAGATAATTACGCTACTTATTTTCATTGTTTACATGTGAAAGTATATGAGGTTACATCTTCTTATGCGCGAGTTATATTTTTTTATACACGAGTTACATCTTCCTATGTGCGAGTTACATTTGGACTTACCTCAACAAGTTACATTTTGCATATACATAACTTAGATTTTCCATTAGCGTGATTTACATTTTCCATAACAGTAGTTACATATCAAAATAAACCTCTGCTATTGAAACAAAAAAACATCAATTTTTGGAAAATATAATAATTTAAAAAAAACTTTTTTATGGCCTTAATATTAAACACAAAACATATTCACTATTTGTATAAAGTAGTTGAGCAGTTAGACTCATTGTTTTCATTGTTTACATTGATATTGTTGTTTTGTTTCTTATACTCTGTATTAGGCAAGTAGCATTTCACGTGAGTTACGTACATTTGTTATTAGTGTGAGTTATATTCATTTTCACGTGAGTTACATCATTCTGCTACCGAGACAAGAAAAAAAGTGAATGTTCACACGTGTTTTGGTAATACTGTGGATTGCTCCCACGATATAACAATGGAGGAATTTGTGGTTTACAACATCACATTTTTTTCTCTGTTCTGCATAACTCTCCATCATACAGTATCCATTATCTTAATCTGCATGTCATTTGTGATATGCAAGTTATAATAAACAGATGAGTAATTTAGAAAGGACAGGAGTACTTTTTAGTTATGTTGCATAACTAACGCCAATACGGATAAAACATGTGTTTATACCAATTACACGTGCCACATTCACTAACGCCAAGGAAAAGTGATGGTTGTACATGTTTTGATCACAAACAAAATATAAGGTAAACAACATTCACGGGTGTAAAATTACCTTTTTGCGGCGCTTAAATCACCCAACGTGCGGCGCTTTTAGACGTCGCAAATCTCGGTGCCGCAATTTAACCCGTGCGGCGCTTAATTTCAAAAAGCACCGCGAATATTTTATTTTTTAAAAAATTATATTTAATATGTGTGTGGCGCTTTTTTTAAAAAATTATATTTTTTAAAATTAATAATTTTTGACGTAACCGTGCGGCGCCTTTCTTTATATAAGCGCCGCAAATGTTTTTTAAATAAATTAAATTAATTTTTTTTTTAACGTTCGCGGCGCCTTACACAAATAAGCGCCGCAAGTATTCAACATTTTTAAAAAAAAATTCAATCGTATTTAGGATCATTTAAAAGTACGTCCTGTAACAGAATTAACAAAATACCAAAAGTGTAAACTTTTTAAAATCATCACTATATCAACAACATGAACTTCACAAATTACAAAATCAGCAAAGTGTAAGCAATTCAAGTAACCAACATAGATTACAAAAATCTTCATAAAAATGATTTCAGAAAACACTTAACACAATACATAACCAACATAAACATGTCGTAATTGCTAATATAAAAATTCCGACATATATAATCAATGTAAACAACTTTTACATATTTAAGAGTACATCCAAGAAAAATCATACCAATCCTACAAATATTTAGATAAAAAATAAGAATAAATAATGATATACCTTTCCAATATCAAAGCTATCAACATACGAAATCACTTCCCATATGTATCGCATGGTATAATATCCGCATTCTGTGTTTCCGTTTTGTCTGGCACACTTTTTTGAAATACAAATTTACAAAATATATGTATCAAAGTTAATGGTGATTGAAATAAGTTATTGATGAATTTACCTTAACATTATGTCATGTGATTGGCTTTCCATCACCATTTCTTGCGGAAGCAACTCTGTATACTCTATATTAAAAAAAGTATGTTATATGATATAAATAATAATATTAATAATAATCTATAGCAATTAAATAAATAAAAAATATTAAAAGAATACTTACAATGCTAGATCTTTCTGAATGCTGATATTAGAAAAGCTTGGGATTGAATTGAAGATATAGCCTTTATTAACCGAGGGGCAAATAACTATCAAAATCCAATGAAATCTAAATAAAAAAAAAATACAATTAATTAAAAAATTAAATTTACATAAACAGATACATTATATAAAATAAAACTATTTACCCTTCATTATATGGAAGCAAGATCATTCTTTTTCCAAATGTCGCACACAAAGATTGTTTCATATATGTTATTGTGCCCTTCTTGTCAAGTTGATAAGAACCATAAGAGCACAATAAGGGGCACAAAAATACAACATCATCACGTTGCAAATCATTCAATTTAGCTAAGGCACACCTATAATAAACATAATATAGCATCATTATACAATTTTGAAGTTCAATCATTTCATGAACTTTAATTTAAATATTGTTATATTTATTTAAAATACTTACAATGCAAAGGATTGAATGATACACATATCCACAGAATCACCCTCGAGTAATTCAGCCAAGTCTTTACGATCGATGATAGTCCCAAATTCACCGTTTTGCGGATAGTGAAAGACATCAACAGGTAAAGCAATAGAGAATTTACACACCTCTGGCTCATACCACTCTAGCGTCTCATGTAGCTCCAATAAATCTTCGGTTAGTGACTGCAAAATAGTATCACTAACCAATGGGTATGTGCTAGGAGGAACCACAACCCGAGGAGACTCTCTCGGAATAAAAGCTTTATTCTTTCAAATCTTTGACCTTATCATATATTTCTGATCCACTTAATACACGTCGAGGAACACCGTGTTCAGCTTTTCCATTAAATGCCTTTTTGAGTGCACGATAACGATGGTTTCATGGAAAAAATCTTCGATGACTCATGTATACATTCTTTTTGCAATTGGGTAATCGCAAATCAAGAGTGTCATCTTCACAAATGGAACATGCCTTTCCACCTTTAACCGTATATCCAGAAAGATTTCCATAAGCTGGAAAGTCATTAATAGTGCAATACAACAAAGCACGCAAATTAAAATTTGTTTTTGTGTGCATGTCATATGCTGTAACACCCTCATTCCACATAAGTTTAAGATCATCAACTAATGGTGCGAGGTACACATCAATATCATTACCGGGTTGTTGTGGTCCCGAGATAAGCAGAGACAACATTATGTACTTCCTCTTCATGCACAACCATGAATGCAAATTATAAATAACCAATAAAACTGGCCAAGTACTATGTTGACTACTCAATGTGCCATATGGATTCATACCATCAGTGCATAATCCAAGTCTCAAATTCCTGTCTTCTTTGCCAAAATCAGGATATTTCAAATCAATTTGCCTCCACCGTGGTGCATCAGATACATGTTGCAAGTACTCATCTTTTTTCCTGCCTTGAGCATGTCACACTAAGTGTTTTGCATCTTTCTCATTCATGAATAATCTTTTAAATCTAGGAATGATAGGAAGATACCACAACACTTTGGTAGGTGTTTTGGTGTATTCAGCATCAAACCCAACATTAATACCCTTCTTCTTCTTATAACGTGAAGCGTGACACTTTGGACATTCATTTAGGTTTTCATATTCATTGCAGTACAGTATGCAATCGGCTAGACATGCATGAATCTTCTCCCATTCTGTTCCCATTGGACACAACAACTTTCTAGCCTTATAGCTCGTATCGGGAAGTGTATTTCCTTCTAGAAGCATTTTTTGAAACAATATCAGCAACTCAGTGAAACTAACATTACTCCACCCATGTTTAGCTTTCAAGTGAAATAATTTGAGAACAGCAGATAGTTTGGAGAATTCAGAACCTGTGAATAGCGGTATATTGACGGCCTCAATCAAATTCTCATAAGATTTTGGTTGATAATCAAAATTATCATGAACATCATTCATGAGTTCATCAATTCTATCTTCATTGACATCATCATCCGCAACACCATCATCAATATCATTTGAAGTAGTAGTAATATGAGTAGCTTTACGCTTTAGATGACTAGAAGTTGCTCCAGAAAAAAGGTCTTCGACATCCACACGATTCTCACCATGGAATGTCCATGTCATATAGTTTTCTCTAAAACCCTTCTCAAATAAATGCTGAAGAACTATGTTCACGTCATTCTCTCTTTTAATGTTACGGCACATTGAACAAGGACATAAAATTCCTTTTTGTCCTTGTTGCTTCTGATGCGCAACAACCACTTTCACAAACTCATGAACACCATTGAAAAATTGAGAAGTATTTCGCAAACCATACATCCAGCTACGATCCATGATTAACAACACTAAACTTTATCTAAAAATAAAAAATAATAATAAATTATTGCATACTTTTTTTCTTTTTAAGCACACTTTTTATGTAAGATTGCAATTGAGGGTTATGCTAATATAAAACAACCTCTTGGAAGGGTTTTGCTGCTCATTACAACTATTCCAAAATTATATTACTCAAAATTAATATTAAAATAAAAAATATTGAAAAAATTTATTATTAAAAAATATACATACCTGCTGTGAAATGGGAGACCGATGGCTGGAGTAAGCGGACCGGAGCTCGACGGCGGCAAGCGGACCGGAAGACCGGAGCTCGAAGCACACTTGACGCGGACGACCCTAGACGGCTGCGGCTGGAGTGAGCGGTGAAGATGCCTAGCTTCGACGGCAACGAAGGTGAGCGCAGGAGGTGTGACGGCGGAGGAGGTGCGACGGCGGAGGTGCGACGGCTGGGCCACGGACTAGGTGCGACGGCTTAGCTAGGGTTTAGGCCAAACTGAAACTATGCTGCGAACGACCGGCCATGTCGAAATAAACTGGAACAGTTTATGCGGCACTTTTTCATATAGGCGCCGCACGCCTCTTTTTAAAATCCGATTTTTTTAAAAAATTAGTATATTTTTGAATAAAAATTTGACGTCGGTATGCGGAGCTTTTTACATATAAGCGCCTCCTAACAAACTGGAACATTTATGCGGCGCTTTTTTCATATAGGCGCCGCACGCCTCTTTTTAAAATCCGATTTTTAAAAAAATAAGTTTTTTTTTGAATAAAAATTTGGCGTCGGTCTGCGGCGCTTTTGACATATAGGCGCCTCCTAAAAAACTAAAAAAAAATATTTTTCTAATACGGTGCTTTTCATTAATTAGGCGCCGCAGAAGCGTTGATAAATTTTAAAATTTTATTTAAATTTTTCGGTTTGGCGCTTCATTTACATTTTTTCGCTCCTGCGCTTCTAAATATCAAAATTTAATTTAAATATTGGCGGCGTTTTTATATATAAGCGCCGCAACAACCCGAAACATTAAATAATTAAAAAATTAAATACATATTAGAGGCGCTTAAAAAGAAAAGCGCCGCACGTCGTAACTCGTATATGTTAAAGGCGTTTGTTTTTTAAGCGCCTCAAATGACGTGACGCAGTTTAACAGATTTTTACTCGTGATTGCATATATTTTCATATATATAATGTAAACATCATATGGAAATTTCTAAGGTAAACATCATGTGTAAACATCATATGTGTTTACATCGAAATACTAGTTGTGCATGTTTTGATCACATGGAGTATGCTCTTTTGTGAGTGGCGGCATATGGCAACCAACCATGTTTTTAGCATGGAGTTGCCTCAACTCTCAATCAATTTGACCCCACGTTTAAAAAAGGAGACGGCCGTCCGATCTATAGCATAATAAATTTAGAAGAAGTATGGGTGGGCGTAGCTCAACTCGTAGCGAGGGAGTACCACAAGGGTTAGGTTACGAGTTCGAATCTCGGCAACTGCAATGAGAGGTTACTATGCTAAAAATGCAGAGCCGCATAGGGCCTCTGCAAGTATCGGGGACAGAGCCACACTCTCTATCTGTCAGATTGTGATTATAGTCCAATTTACATCATCCCAACGTACCGTCCGGTCGATGTTGGGGGGCCTTTTGGGATGGGATGTGATGTGAGTTTTGTCGCACTTAAAAAGATTGTAATATAGCGGTGAAAGTACGAGTATCGTCTCCACAGGGACGGTAAAAGGAAATTAAGAATTAACTAAAATCAGCGATAAAAATAAATAAAACAAATGCGGTCGTGCGAGAATTGGTTGTTTGAGAAAACTAAAATTGCAAAAAAAAAAAACGATTAAAAGTAAATGATTGGGTTCTTCTTAATTAACAACGAAGGGAACATGGATTGATTCTGGGGTAATCAGATTTCTGGCAGATCAGGCTTAATTACATGAATTTAATTTAATTGAGTCTAGCTAATCAATACTAAGTTCTTACCGCTCTCGCGGCGTAGAGTACAATAATTTAGGGGATCAGGCTGATCTCTCATGCGACAGGATCCTAAATTATTGTCAAGACGAACGAGCTTACGGCCCCTTAATCGCTACTAATCTCTTAGCGAACGATTAAGTGTGTGTGAATGTGTCCTAGAACAAATTAGATCTCTCTTAATTTATTCTATAAGCAATTGTAATTCTAGTGGCCATTCTAGGTTACAAAAGATATCAATTAAATTATTCATACACAAATTAAATGGCATTCATGCAATTTACACCATCAAGAACCTTAGTCATACATCATGATTAACCCCTTCATCAATCCCAAATCCCTAATTAAAACTACTCCCTATTCATAATTGAAGAATCAATAGAATTGGGAAAAATAGAATTAATTGTCATTAATTAAAAAGTAGGAACTTACAAAGAATCTTAAGGGATTGAAAAAACCTGGCTGAAAACCTCTCTAATCACGTCCTTAACCTCTCTCTAAACTTCCATCCCCCCTTAATTAGGGTTATGGGGGTGGTATTTATAGGAAACAATCAAATTTGGGCTGATTTAGGACTCCCGTAGCCGCGCTCGGCGTCCACGCTCGGCGAGCGTGGATACGAAATTTCTCTTTTAACTCTCTGCCTCGCTCGCTCGGCGAGCGTACCAGCCACGCTCGGCGAGCGTGGCACTTTTCTTCATGTTTCCTTATTTCTTGCTCCAAGATGCCCCCGTTTGCTCCCGTGATTGATCCAAAAGCTCTTTCTTTATTGAAACTTCATCGCGAACCTCCCGGTGACCTTCAAAATTCCGAATTCTTTCTCGAACATGCCTCTACTCATCCCGATCACTCCTAAAGCTCCGATTCCGGGCTCTCAACGACCTGATCTCAACTTTAGAATGCCAAAACTCGTTCCAACACCTGACTAACATGACTTGAGCTAAATATGACACTAATGACGCCTAAAAGCGAGGAAAACCATCAAAATCCGACTCCAACACACATCAAATGCGTGTTGAAATATGAACTTATCAGATTCCCCCACAATTAAGCTTTTGCTTGTCCTCAAGCAAATCGAACAACGGGACTTACGATAATCACCACACGAAATCAAAACAGTTAGCATGAACACGTAGTTAAAGGGATATTCACAGAACACACAATCTAAATCAAGAAAATTCTTCCCTAAACTACGTCTTTGTGCTCAAGCTAAACTATTTGACAAAATTATTCACAACATTCTTAAAATAATGACAGCATACACAAATAACTAGTT